ACAAAACATGTCCCGCCACACCACCCCCAAATTAATGGGAAGGGCCGCTTACCCCAACTGAGGAAAAAAAGTCCATTGTTGAAGCAAACACTTTATATGTATATTCCAATACCTCAATATCTATTTGCACATAGAACTTTTATCATATAAGATTTTTGCTTAAAGTTTAAGTTATAAAAAAAAGTAGCACATCATATATTTAACAGGGACAAATTGAGTCCAAAACAACTGGTAAAGAAAGGCTTGGCAATGTTTCTACAGAGTAAAGTAAGGCTGGATAGAAAACATGAGTTTGCACTTATATTGATGTATGATACAGCTGTATGGGTAAGTAGTCTTAATGTATTGTAGTGATTCAACAAATATTGATTATTATTGGAAAATTGAAGTCGGGTCAAGATCAGCAATACCATGATACATGTACAAATATCCATCATTGTCTGGAAGAGTGAAGTAATGAATCAAATTTCAATTACACAGTGCCTTTGCCATGTGATATTTTGTGATCTGCATATGGCAAGAAACCAACACAATTGAAAACATTATTTGGATGCATTCCTCACTTGAATGAGGAGGCTATCTACCTTATCCCATGAAAAATATGAAATATTAAACTTAAACTGTCTTTTGTATTAGCTTTCTGCAAAAAGTTGCCTGGTATTAGCATCATGAATTACAAAGATAAGTCTGTACCAAAAAACATACCGAAATTAAAACATCTCTTAATTGAATTCATTGCTTTATATTGATACCTTCGTTGTCATTATTCAGTGTTAACATTATTTTCTTTCTGGATAAGTTGTATGCACCCCAAAGGGATAGCAGATAGTTGCTGCATTTACGGTCTGTCACACTCTTGTCTTGAGAATAAATTGAAGTTTGAGTGGAGTTAGGGGTCATCACTGGGGTAAAGGTCACTGGTACTAAAAATAGATTTTTACACTTTTGCTTTTAAAGCCTCTATACTCTTTGACTGTATTGAATACATTGACAAATTTGTAGGTATAGGGAGCAATATTCTTGTTGAGATATTTACAGGTGCGATATTCCTTGTAATTATTTACAGGTTAGAGATTTTACCCGTAATCCACGAGATATACAGTTAGCTTTAGATGATAATCTAGATCCCCCATTCTGTGAAACCTGTGATATGGGATCAGTCTTTGACAAAATGTAAGTTTGTAGTTTTATACTTTCTTTATAGTGATTAAAGTTACTGATTTAAATAACAGGCATCTTACATCACCCTTAAAGCAGCATGCCTCCAGATTCATGCTAATTTTTGGTGAAAATTTTGAAAATGTATTTAAAAGTAAAATACTGTGAAATAAACAAAGAAAGTAATTTAAACATTGCAATCTGCGCTTACAATCACCGAAAAGAGGTCTAAATATACATAAATACCTCTTATGCATTAGTAACGCAGTAGAATTATAGTGATTGATACTGCAAAATTAGTCATTAATTACACATAACATGTAAATAATTAATTAAATATTTAAACTTTTTACTTTTCTTAAGATCTTACACATTTTTCTAAAGATTGAATTTCTTGAAATATTTTGGCTCATCTGGAGGTTTCTCTAATTGTGACTGTCTAAACAACCAAATTTTAATGTAGAAGTTTTTATAAATTATTTATTTATACATTTTCAGAGCTGAAAAAGTTGAACTTCCCCACATTGAAGGAGACCCAGAGGTACTTCCACCACCATACACTGTTAGACTTGTATTTATCTATGGAAGATCTCACAGTGTGCTGGAGTTTTCCAAAAAGGAGGTAGTTGCAGTATTTTAATTTTCTGTAAAATCACTTCAAGTTGAAAGAGCTTAAACTGAAAATATGCGTGTGGGCATTACTTATTTTCCTCTGAAAGCTTAACTGGAGCCCTGCTTATGTAACATTAGTGGTTTTACTCAGGTGCCCATTTGTGCCTGAATAATGCATTGAGGGGCACCAGAGGTCTTCCTCCACTAGTTAAGCTGGATAGTCACCTTATGACCTTTACTTTTGTTGGTGCATACCATTTACAGTTACACCCTTGACACAGTGGTAAATATTAAAAAATAAAAGTTATATTTTCAACACATTGACTTTTGAAAGTCTTTATCAGAAAAGTTAAATTTGGTTCCTTTACTCCAATTTGTCCATTCATTTATTGGGGAAAAAAATTTGAAAGGAATTCTATGTGGAACTTAAAGTAAAATTAATCATTTTGATTTAGTTTTTAATATTTCGTCCATGCTTCTATAACTTTTCACTTTTTTTCATTTCAGAGTTTCAACATTTTAAATTTATCACCACACTTTTTCCTGGATGCACTTTATCTACATGAACCTCCATCAGAAGAGAACAAGTGCCAGGTATGTCTGCTGTTATTATTTCAATGCTAAATCAGCTGTAAATAGAGCTAGCTTAAAATGCTATAAAAGTTGTATTACTTCATTGAAAAAGAATTTTTTTAACAAAAGGTTATATTTCAGTACATTCCTGTGAAGGGATAATTTGTAACTTCAGAGTTTTCTTTTATATGAATGCAATGACATGGGAAGTTGAATTTCAATGTTTCAAGAGGCCATTTAAGTGTGAGTTCTTCAAAAGTGCCCACCTTAATTTGCATTGATAGACACTGTTGGTCTCTCAATCAGAAAGTGGACATTTTTAACACTTACTGTCCCTCCAGGAGTAGAAGTCAGTCCCTTCAAATAAAAAAACAACAAAAAAACAACAACAACAACAAAAACAAAATAGTTTTATAATCTTTACAAAATACTACACTTACTAGTTTTAAATCTTGTTATTTCAAATATACATTCTATTTTAGCTTGTTTTAAACACAATATTGTTTTACTTATTAGAAAATATTTTTGAATTTACCTAGATTAGATTTTCAAAATTTACATTTACCGTTGTACAAGTGTTGAATTCTTTCTGTCGAATGGTTCACAAAATTTGATAAGTGTTTGATTCTTTATTTAGAATGGTTCACAAAATTTGATAAGTGTTTGATTCTTTATTTAGAATGGTTCACAAAATTTGATCTTCTGTTCGCAGGAAGTGTTTGATTATTAATTTAGAATGGTTCACAAAATTTGATCTTCTTTTTGCAGGAAGTTTTTGACTCAGTCTGTGATCTTGACATCAAAGGTCAGTCCTATATTCTTGGAGCTAGTCGGAACCCAACCAAAGTTTACGACTCCATGGCACAGCTGCTTGCCCATCCACTACAGAGGCCAGTCCAGAACGAGGCTGCCTATAAAATAGGACCTCCTTTATTGACAATACCTGTACCAGACATTGGTTGTGATAGCTAAGTTGTATGTATGTAGAGCTGTTAGAAACCATATTTGTGTTCATTTTGAAACCTCAGTACTTAGTTGATTATTCATTATTCATTATTTTGTCATTTTTTTAAGCTATTGTGAAAGTTGCAGAATAATGTGCAGTTACTTGTTTGCTAATTCAATATTTTGTCATTTTTAAAGCCATTCTCAAAGTTGTAGAATAATGTGTGGTTAATTGTTTGCTAATAATCTTTAAAATATATGAGTATAACATTTGATTCTTTTGACACATTGATCCCATGAAGGAAGGAAAAGCATTAAGAATATTTTTTTTCTTTTGACATTTTTATGCGAGCATATAGCGTTGCACTTGTCCGTCCGTCTGTCCCGAAATCTTGTGAACGCAACTCCTCTTAAACGGGATGGCAGATTTTTGCTTAAACTTCCAGGGATGAACAACCTTAATGTATAGATGGTAGTAAAGGAAGGAATTTTTGCTGCGACCAAATTTAACAGAATTATGGCCCTTTGTTGATTTTTTCACTATATACCATATAAAAATTTTGTGAACGCAACTCCTCTTAAACTGGATGGCAGATTTTGCTTAAACCTCCAGGGATGAACAACCTTAATGTGTAGATGGTAGTAAAGGGAGGAATTTTTGCTGCGACCAAATTTAACAGAATTATGGCCCTTTGTTGATTTTTTCACTATATACCATTTAGAAATTTTGTGAACGCAACTCCTCTTAAACCGGATGGCAGATTTTGCTTAAACTTCCAGGGATGAACAACCTTAATGTGTAGATGGAAGTAAATGAAGGAATTTGTGCTGCAACCAAATTTAAGAGAATTATGGCCCTTTGTTGATTTTTTCACTATATACCATATATATGTTGTCAGTCGGGGCATCTGTGTCCTTTGGACACAGTTCTAGTTTGTCTTAGTTCTATAAGCTTATCACATGGTAACCGCATTGACATCTGAATAGTGTCAATTTCAATCCCCAGGTAAATTAAACATGTAGATGGGGGACATGTTTTATCCAATGCCACTGGAATATCCATTTTTTTACAAATATTGTTAAAAGACTGCAATGAGGTTGGCAGGTTATACTAGACTCGCCAAACAGGAAGTCGTTCAGATAATGTAAGATATCTGAGTTATGGCTAGACGCAACAAATGTCCAGTGTAAAAAAGTGGCAAATTTTTCAAAAAGGGCACAGCTAATTGAAGAGCCGAAAGGTAACATTTTGTCGAAAAAATAGTAGTTAACCATTTTATCATCTGCCTTGACTGTTACTTTAAAACCTAACAAATCAAAATCTGCTGGGGAAATTTGGAGAAGACGGAATGCAGATTTTACATCAGATTTGCTGAGTAGCGCCCCTTTGCCTAGTCTAGACACCATATTAGCTGCTTGGTCAATTGTGGAGTAAGTTACAGAACAAAGGTTTTTATCAATGAAGTCATTGATAGACCTGTTTCTCGGGTAAGATAGGTGGTGGATTAAGTGGTAGTCACGGCCTTTTTTAGGAACCAAACCTACAGGAGAAATTTGTAAGTTTGGAAATGTGATGTTGAGAAAAGGGCCTGCTACTCTACCTGCCTGTATTTCTTTGATAATTTTGGTATGTAACACCTCAAGAAGCTGCTTTGCGCTGACTAAATTGGGCTAGTCTCTATGTACTCGGGGGCCCTCATGCTGTAAGGAAAAACCATGTGGTAAGCCCTCAATGAGATCCTTTGCTGCACTGGCAGGATATAATTTTAGTGCTTTAATTATTTCTGGAATGTTCAAAGGTGTGCAACCGGTTTGATAAAGAGGAGTAGTTTTATTGAGTAGAGTTGCATACTGTCTGTGTCGTGTCCCTCCGCATAGCCTGCAAAAGTGACTATACCTACAAGGGATAAAAGGACAATTACAACCAGAGTTAAAATACAGGGTTCATACAGACCATCCAAGACAAAATTCAAGGACTTTTCAAGTATTTCAAGGACTAAAATATGTGACATACTAAAGACATTTATGTGTAAAAGGGTGACAATGTATGAAATTAGAGTTTTACATGCAAATACCTGTTGAAGTACTATCAAATTTATGAAGTTTTTTCTAAGTGTGCAAGAACCTAAACTGAAGAAGCTAGTTATATCCTGATAACATTCTCTCACTGTTGTGAATTGTTTGTGTTTCTCACTTTTAATGTGCGTTTTTATAGCGCTTTCACCCATGGCTGAAACGTCTATAACCTTATCACAAGCGCTACACATCCCCTTTCTTTTGTCACCCTTGAATTCTTTAATGAAAGGGTATTTTTCTACCCATTTTGGCGAGAAATTACACTTCTTGTTCATTTTTTGATGAATCACCCCAACCGGTCCGTGAAATTTACACATCATGAATATTTCAATTGTGTATAAAAGCCGATACCCATTCCGTACCGTCTTACTATCTCGTTACGAAGTCGTATTTTTTTTTAAATTGATGTATATTTGAGTTTTCTTTTGTTTTTTTTTTTGTTTTCTTGGCCACTGTTTTACTCATTTTAGTCGTTTTGTGGTAATGAGGAAATCGTGGATTACTAAACAAAATTCTCAAGTTTCCTGTAAGGAGTTTTCAAAGACTTTTTCCCTGGACAAAATTCAAGGAGTTTTCAAGGACTAACCACCAAATTCAAGGACTTTTCATGGCCTGTGCTAACCCTGAAGTAATTACATGTAAGTAAACCTGCTTTAGGACTGACCATACGCTGTTTGAAAAGCTTTGATGTTGGGGGGCCTGATACTTGAGTGGTAGGTTGTCTGATAGTGGGCTTGGTTTGAACTGTGAATTCCTGTGCCCTAGATACATGACCATTAACATGGAGCAACCAAAGTTCGAGGTTGATGGTGCCCCATAAGCTAGAGGGGTTATTAGATTTGTTGTGGCGGAATTGTTCGTCATATTTCCACCACGAGTCAGACCTTGTGGCAGCCAGTTGTATGTCCCAGAGGTATTTCAACAACTCCTGGGACCTGTTGGGGAAGCGTTCAATGAAAATGGTTATGAATACTAAGAAAGCCGATGACTGACAACTTAAATGTTGACCCCCTCTGCTTTATTATGCATAACTTTCCATTTTTTATTTGGAGTTCCCCGAAAGGGCCATCATCAGCATAGTCATGCAACTGACTGGTGGATTTTAATAAAATTGACATGTCTATAAAGTCGCCAGCCCAAATTTTTTCCTTGATCTTTTGGGATATTCCACTTCCTAAACTTGTAAAATCATCTGAATTAGTATGATTTGTAGCCGCAGAATTATTGATAATAATATTGTCAAATGGCTCCAAATTGATAACAGGCGGTGTAGGAAAGATAAATTGAGCTGTATTACTATTACCTTGCAAAGATTCGGGAGCGGCCACATCGACATCACCACCACCTTGCAAATGTAATTCACCGCTTGGTCTGGCATTTCTGTCATTCCTAGGTTCTCCTCTGCCACGCTTTGGCAGTGTTGTAGCTGTATTTGAGGCAGTTTGTGGCCTTACTCTTTTTCCACGGCCTCTGGGCATTTTCTTTTATTTATGCGTTTTTATTTTCTTAGCACGTTTCTTTGGCAAAAGTTCCTGGATAATGATAAACCTCCTTTGAAGAGTATTCATTAGGGTCTAAATTCCGTGCTACGGTACCTGATTAAACACGCACCTACCTACCCTTTAGATGATGCGTTTAAGAAGAATTATCGAATACATGATTCTGGTGTTAATAAAAAGACAATAAATAACAATATACTTGATGAGCACAAAAAATTAGCTAATACAGATACATATGAGGACGATTAATATGAAAATAATAGCCAAAAAGATAAAAACAGATGAAACAGAAAGCACGAATGATCAGCAGAACATGTCAAAATTTGGAAAAGATTTATTAATAAGAGATATGGACTGAGAAAGTCAAAATATAAAACATCTTTTGTAATTAGCATCTACTTTCTTCATCCGTGCAGTATTCAAGATCAGCATTAACACTGTGTTTTTCTGTTGATATGAGTAGTAATTCGAAGGTCCAAGCGTGCGTTGTACAATCAATGACGGATATAACTTGCTATAGACATGAAAATATTTTCGTTCAAGGAATATACTCTAAAGATTAATTGATCAAAATTTTCAAATACACGCTTTTGATTCCTTACTGTCTTTTACTCATTGTAATAAATAGCATTCTGTTAATCATGCATGCAACAAACTGTCACCTTTAGCTTAAATTTAAAAAGGACAGTAATGTAATGTCTTTTCTTTTGTTTTTTTTTCTATAATGTTACTTTTTCAGTCCCAAAAGGTATGCACGTCTGTTGCCATTTGATTCTGTGATTGACTTCGGGTTTTAAAAGACAATTTGCCAATTCGTGAATGAATGTAGCTTATACGTGTCTGGTAAATGATTAATTTTTTCAATGTACCAGGCTCTACTGTGCGTATTTCGTATGTGATGTTTTATCACATAGAATATTTTCTAAATAATTTGGCCGTATAGTGGGATTAGGAATATACAAGTCAAACGAACAACAACAAGCTTTTAAATTCAAACTATCAATTTAATTGTGTGAATGAATCAATTATATATATATAAAAATATAGAACCTATGTTTTCTAATTAGGATTACGTTAAATTTATAAGTTTATTGAAAGAAATGCCCTTCGATAATTAAATAATAATAGATATATTTATTTTGCAATAAGCATAAATAAAATGAAGAGAAATAGATTTTCAAATTAAAATTGAAGCACTAAGGCTTCGAAGGAGTACCGGTAGGCTGATACACCTAGCTAACATAATAAAGAAATGCATGAGTTTATATAGTAAATGCAAGTGCAAAAATCACGTAACCAAGTAAACAATTAAACATTGGATAAAAATGGAAAGATATAACCAATGAATAAAGCCGTACCAGATTAACTTCGGCATAAATGACAAAATGGCTGCGCCCACGAAATAAAAATAATTGAAAGTAGCATAAGTAAAAACAAAAGGAATTTAATTTAAATATGCATTTAAGATGCAAACTATTACATTCCTTTCTCCTAAAATTTTAAATATTGAAAATATTTAATAATAACAAAAAAAACTTCTTGATCTTGATTAAGATTAACCAAACAAATTTATTTATTTTTACTTGCTGCAACATGTTCGTGTTACCCTCTAACGCCTGTAATCCTGCCGCTGTAATAGTGAAGAACATATCCCGACACTTGCACGGTTGACTCTGCTCGTCGTTTGTTTGGAGGGTTTTTACCTGAAGTTCCAATCCTCTAACTACTCCTTCCAATATCTCATATTTGGAGATCATATCTTGATTTGCCTTTCCGGTGTGTTCCTTTAATTTACTTATCAGAAAACAAAGTACTTGCATTTTCTTAATAAAAACCCTATCTTCAGATAAAAAGAAATTCACTTTTATTTTAACTTTAAAAACTCAAAAATTTATTATCAGTTTTATAATTAAACATTACACACATAAACCTTAAGAAAAACAATGCATCAAAACATGATTTTTAACGATCTTATTAATTAAACTCAATATCATCAAAATAGTCTAATTCCTCCGGAGTGAAACTTAATATGCCACCAAGAATATCAGTCCTCCTTTTCCTTCTTTCCTGCTGATCCCTTTCTTTCTCTTTGTTTCCTCTCCTTCTCCTTTTGTTGTAACTCAGTTCTTTCCTCAGTTGTGGGATACCGGGGCTTTAAAACGTCACCCGTCCTTCTGTAGTTGATATTGACAACTCTTTTTAACTCGCAAGAGTGTCTTGGGCCAAACTGATGGGAATGTTGTCTCCCGTCAGTTGCCCTCTGGAAAGTTCATGCATTGATAATTTGTGATGATTGGGTAGCATTAATACTGTGCATTTCTGTTCTTATTAGTTACTATTCGAAGGTCCAAGCGTTGTACAATCATTGACAGATATAGTTATCTAAAGATTATTTGTTCAAAATGTTCAACAAATACACTCTTTTGATGTTTGACAGTCTTTTACTGATCATGTTAAATAGCATTCTTTTATTCATGTGGTATAGAAACAAAAAAATCTGTTCCTACACTACTATTTAGTGTTGTTTTATTGCGGTGGCATAGCATTTTTCTCAAATGCAATCTTGTTACATACTGATTCAGGAGTTGATGGTTAATCAATGCATACTGGACATACTGATAGGCATTCAGTTAATCGAGAGCTGGAGAGGAACTATGATGTATAATAACACAGCCCAAATCGTTTCCTATCAGATGCCCCCAGGCTTCCTCTAACACTTCTTCAAATATTTGTTGAAGTCCTTGCGTCACATCTTCTAGTTTTTCTCCTTTATACTGTTCATTGATCTTGATTTGATACATACGATCACCTGCAGTACTTTTTGCATACATTCTTTCTTTTTAGTTTTGATGACAAAAATCAGTTATGCATTTCTAATTTATCTAAAAAAAAATAAATAAATAAATTAGGGATGGCAACGAGTAACCGGTTAACCGAGTACTCGATCGAATGTCCGAATATCGGTTAACAAAATTGATATTCGATTACTCGGGGAAAAAAATTTAATTTCTACCTTTTTGCCATTTCGTAAGATTAGTTCAGAAATTCGGAAATGTACACGTATCTGTATAAATACTTGTTAAGTGCAATCAAAACATCCTTGCAGAGGTGTGAAAATGATATCGTAAGTTTAACGATGCGATCAGCAGTTTGACACATGTATTGGATTGAACACAGTTCTGTGTCGTTTACGTCATTCGGCCTCTTATGATATTTAATCACCTTTAAATATTAGACAGTTTGTAGCCGAAACTTGTTAATTATACATGTATAAACGTGGTGGAAAAATTGATATCTTACAAGACCGAAGGTCGAGCGAAATATTAATTTTCCAACATTGCGAGTAGAAAAATGCATAGGCTACAACATAATTTTACTTTTATTATAAACCTTTTCGTTTGAATTATAAATGATTTTCATTATACTACATTTCTATAAGAAAATTCAGAAAATGAAATGTAGCTGTCAAGAAAAAAATTTATGACCGACGGATGAATACGTAATTTTTGCAAAACCGTACGCGCCTTTTATAATTTTGGTTTCCGTTTCCAAATGCTACGTTTATACACAGCTAAGATCGGAACCAACCTCAAAAATAGTCACTAACATAATACGGAATTTTCTATCCGGTGAAGCCTATTTGCGCTTCAAGTTCATCCTGTATTTTAGGGAGAAATAAATGCTGTCATTGACATTTCTTATGTTTATATTTATATATGTATTTCTTGCACTCCTAATTATAGTTATGAATTCTATGAATTAAATAGAAAACCAAAGTAGCATGCAGACGGTGTTTATATTGTGTGATAAAACTTTTAAAGATCATTGGAAATCTCGATCGGAAAAATGACCGAGTACTCGAGTATCGATTTTGGTATTCGTTGCCATCCCTAAAATAAATAATAAAAATAAGTTTAAAACATTAATACTGTGAATTTCTGTTCATATTAGTTATTATTTGAAGGTCCAAGCTTTGTACAATCATTGACAGATATAATTTGCTACAGATATAAACATTTTTATGCTCCCACTAAGTGGGAGCATATAGCGTTGCACTTGTCCCTCCCTCCGTCCGTCCCGAAATCTTGTGAACGCAACTCCTCTTAAACTGGATGGCAGATTTTGCTTAAACTTCTAGGGATGAACAACCTTAATGTGTAGATGGTAGTCAATGACCAAATAGTAAATAATCTGACCTTTGAAGGTAGGATAAACACACATACAGAATTTTAAACATAGATAACTAAATACATGTACATCAAACATATTCGTGTAAGTTGATATATAAACAATTTTGTGAATATCGTAAAAATGATGTTCCTTTAACATAAACAAATAAAAATGTGGAGGTTTTCTTTTGAAAATGGCCATTAATATAACAAGATAAAGACTTAGAAAATGACACCATAAATTGGATGTAAACAAACCCTGAAGCTATATACAAACTAAGTTGGAGTATAAATTCTATAGTAAAATATTTTGAAGCATAGGCATACTTAAAGGTATCAGATTATGTTTGTAAATTTTTATAAATTGTGGAGTTGGGGATGGTGGTGGGTTTAAAATGCAAAATTTTCTTTGTTTAGAGTGTCCGGCCGCAATCGTAACTGGTTTAAACCGGTTCTCGGAGCGGCGTGCTGATAAGGGTTAACGATTTTCATTGGCCGAAATTCTTTAAGGGATATTAACTATTTTCATTGGCTGACAGTCTTTAATGGTCTAGCACCCGTTATCCCGTTCATTTCACCTGCTTACATAAAAATCGCTATGCAAAACATAGCTTAGATTTATGACGCGTTTTTAATATATTGTCTCTTTGTATAGTCGTAACCAGAAAGAAAATGATGTAATATATTCCATTTAACTGGTGTGGGTAACGAAGAATTATCTTTTGAGGGAAGAGTTGACCTGGTTAGATCTGATGGTGTTTAGTTGACTTTGTGGAGGTTTAGGCCCTGATTGAGTTGTTTCGGCTGGACGTTTCCAGCATTTGAAGAGTGGGTGATTTCCATAGCATCCCTTGCATTTATGTGCGTAGGAGCATCCAAAGCATCTAAGTCCCCTGTTTGAATTTTATGACAGGTTTGTCTTGACTGGCCCCATTTGTGGGGCCATTGGATAGAAAGGGCTGTCTCTGATTAAGTGCCTTTATATATAATTCATGGTGAATTGAGTCCCAGCTAATGGATGACTTTGACGTAACTGGCGGAATTGATTGTCGTAATAATGCCAGTTGCCTCTAGCTTTAGATATTGATCTTATATAGTGTTACTCTACTGGGCAAAGGTTCAGCAGACTCGGGATACCTTTGTCTGTAGACAGAGGCAATCACAGCGAACAGATCTGTCCACTGTTCAATTGATAGAAAAACTTCCGGGGCTGAAAGAGGGGTTACGGCTTGAATGCTGCCTTAGTGACAGTAATGTTGAGCAATTTCATCCTGTTTTTTGAACACAGATGATAGATCAACAAATTCATTAGCCCATATTTTTTCCTTAACTTTTAAAGATACGGTTGCATGTAACGGATAGATGGCGACGAATGAAGAGAAAGTTCCCAGAAATACCCAGTACCTGACCGTGTTGATGGTCAGAGTTAGAAGTTGAATTTAGGCATCTCGGGCTGTGGCAATTCCAGTACAGGCAAATTTTGAGAAGCATTTGTGTCTTTCCCCAAAATGTCTTGAATTTTTTTTATCAACCATAGCCTCCAGTTTGGTTGACAAATGTGTCAACTATTTCTCCAATTTGGTCGACATCTATAGAACTTGTTGAAGGTTGATGCGTAGTTATGGGCGTCGTGACTCCTTGTTCCTTGTGTTATGGTGGGTGCTAGTTTCCGTAGCCACAGCATTGTCGTTTGTTTCCGTGACAGGCGTTGCCCTATTGTCAGTTTGTTTTTGTTTTTTGTTTCCTCCCCGTTTAGTTGAAGTCGCGACCCTTTTCCTAGATGGCATTTTTGTTCCTGAAATTTAAGTATATATGTTATAAACTTTAATGTAAGTAAAACAATCATGTCCCTTATATGATTACCTGTCCCTTATATGATTACCTTATGAGGAATGCAAGCCACATCTTAACTAAACTGATATAAAAGTTATATTTGATAATGTGTTCAGGTGACTGAACGCAAATTAAATAATGGATTAATCGCTTAAAAATAATGTACAGTACAATTAATCACTTAAAATATTAACCTGTACAGTTAATCACTTAAATTTATGTACATGTATAATACTCGAAAAATATTATGAAATAATAGTTAAAATGTATGTAACGTGTATGTGTATGACATTTACATGTCATGATAAAAAATTGCAGTGTAGTGACTTGGCATATCAACTTTATAATAGAAATATAATAGTTTATTAAATAGATGAAAAATAAAACTCCAAAAGAAGTTGGCAAAACAACCACAACAAACAAACTATAAACGCGGGAATAAAAAATTTGGCTGCCACAACGCCAAATATATTGTATAAAACTAATGCAGTAAATAAAAAAAGTCATATTCCAAGGACAGCGGTCTTGTT